TCAAATGTGCAAAATGGCGAACATGGTGCCGGAACTGTTCACAGCAGCGACCTCAAAGACGAATTTTGCATCATCGGTTCGCAAAATGACGGACACCACTTTTGGATCGCTTTGCAAACTCAAATGACTATCTGGCCGCCTAGTCAATTTTTCATCCAGGTAACCTCATTTTTTTGTATATGTTCTCTACGAGAACACGTAGATACTTCCCTCACTAATTGGAATTACGATTTTCATGTTGCCGTTAAACCCGATCCATGATCCCAAGCGGACGAATTTATCATTCAACTCATCTCACACAGCAAATTCAATATTAGAAGACTGACGAAGTTTTCCATACATTCTTTTATGTGTATTGAAAAGATGATCTTATCTGTGATGTTTACATTTATTTATTGTAAATTTTTATTTTTATTTTGTGCTTTGTTGTGGCCACCCACGATTTGGTGAGTTAATATTTTTTAACTTTGAAGTCAATTTTGAATTATTACCATTTAGCATCAAATGATCTAGTTACGTTTCAAATCATGGTCCATGTCAACTCAATGCACTCTGCAATCAACATGGATCTGCCTTAACCGACGTAAAACTTCTCATCAATTTATCTATCGGATAAATTGAGTGACGACTTTTGCAGTCTCAAAGTCTTAAATTTAACGCGTAACAGTTAACGCTTCACATAGCCATAGGAAACGTTTACCAAGGGTTATCCTGGACCGTTTACTTTAGACTACTATAAGCATTTCCATCTTGGTTGTATGACTGCTTTCGTTTTCATGTTCCTACTATTGTGATTACCTCATAATTTACGAAAAGAGCCAGGTTTTTAACGAGGCGAGAACTGACGGTTATCGAAAATTACTGCTACTATTGTTCATTATTTATAAAAATTGTAACAGTCTTGCACTCTTTTCCGGCCAAACCTCTAACAAAACCCACATTATATTCAGCCAGAGCTTGGCGGTGTTTAATAAAATAAAATAAAAATAAAATGATTTTGACGTTGACGATTTCTGTCTTTGATATTTGTCAAATGCATGATAATGAGACTGTTCTTATTTGATGAAAATTGAATTTAAAAATGTCATAAAATTAAAATATATTAGCAACATTAGGTGGACATTCTGCACTGCACAATTCAATGTTTGGTCCATAAAAATGAAAACGTTAAAATATACAAATATTGAGAAAAGCCGTCGATAGTTTTGGTAGGTATAAAAAAATCAATGAATAAATAAGTGCTACGTTTCACTCTTGTTGGAAATAGCATCTGGAATATAAATCATAAACAAAACACTGTACAAATGATTGAAGTGAACAAAAATAATCTACAGAAAATGTGAACCGAAAAAAATCTCACTTTCAATGTGAAGTCTGCTCGTTCTAATGAACAGAACAAAACAAAGAAAGAAGAATTTGGTGTTAGTTCTCGTTTAAGTCAACATCACTTGCAATCAAGTATTTCTTGTATTCTCACGTGAAAAAAGTCGTTGCAATTTTGAATTCGAAATAGTCGATATCACGGCGTGTGACCAATCAGAGAAGGGAACATTTTAGTAGGATTTATGCGAAATTATTCGCAGTATGAATTGTCTATGTGTAGTATTCGTGACTAGGCACCACTTAGTACGAATAAATCGGTACATACTATGAGTTGAAACGCATATTCTTCGCATAAAACGCATTTATTTCGAGTTGAATGCCCGGAGCGTCGTCACAATTAAATCGATTTAATTTTAATTTGCTAATATTTTTGTGTCGAAACCAAAATAGTTTTCGTGTTTGTAATAATAACTATTAATCGAATCAATTTTACTTCTGTAATAACTGGATAAATATAATAATGCCCTTTAATACGATAAAACTTTTCTTCGGAAACGAAAATATCTAAAAGAATTTACGACAAAAAAAATTTGAGTTCCTCCAAATAAAAACCATCGCCAGCTACGATTATAGTGTTTTTGCTACCATTTCTGTGAATTAAATCGGTTAGAGTTGTTTTTTTTAGAAAATTTCAAGGTTTGGAATGAATGCTCTACAGAAAAAACAAAGCGAAACGGATTTGTTTTTGGATGAATATGTAACACGGCACTGTATACAAAAGATTTTTCATCTAGTAACCAAATTTTGTTTTGTTTCGTTTCGTTCTATTGCGTATCATAGCGTAGCAGTGTTTTTACTCTAACGTATTCAATTCAATTTGGCTTATTCTTCTTTTCAGCCACATCATCCGTTGAATATATTCATTGTTTATTGCAAGTAATCGGCCAAAAACTTGAACAGAATGGCCATTTCTGGTACTAAAAAGCGATTTTCATTCCAAAAAATGGTTAAAACGTGATTTTTTTGGATTGGCATCAAGAAAAAAAAATAGAAGTTTTACTTTGGCTACAATTTTGCTGAAAACAATAACCAAAAAAATTGCATACTCTTTGAACTATGGTCGGAAAATTGAATTTTTTCCGAATTTTTCGACATTTTGCTCCAAAACATTGACTAAAAGTGTTTTTTTAGGTTAAGTATGTTCATAAAATTTGTTAATTGGACTCTTTTCTAAAACTTTGCTGTTGACAGCAACATAATAATTCAAATATTTCACAAGATATGGCCCAAAATCTGCATGTTCCATATTGAGAAAAATCGACTGAACAACGAAAACTGCCTATGGCCATTACTTTCTTATACGAGCTAATAATGCAAAACGCCTTTGGGGTTTTGCTAGTCTATAGGAATACTTTCATATCTGATATGCCATTTGGTGTCCCTTTTTTTTGTTGTACTGTGTTATTGAAGTTGATAAAAACATCCGCGAATTAAATAAAGAATGGCTACTTTGTGAAGGAATTGACGAACGGTAATTTAAATCATGTGAATATTGTAAGAATCGTCGAAAAAAGAGAAAAAAAAATGATATAGCTGCTATATTATAGCATTTCATTTTCAAATGAAAAAAAAACCGAATCGTTTCGGTAACGCCAAATATATTTAGAATGTGTTGTCAACAAAAAATTGTTTAACAACAAATACATAACCTCAAAATTATTCGAGCCAGTAAGTTGTGCTATTTTATTGCTTTAGTTTTTGTGCTATTTTCAAATGAAAAACAAATTTTATTTCACAATTCAAAATTATAATTATCGTTCATTTTATCTAGATTTTCATCTATAGGCCTGCGCTTATTGTGGAGAAGTCATTATCGATATTGGCAGATTACGGGTTTTCTCATCATTTCGAATTGAGCACATTTCGAACAATTGTTGTGTTCACTTCCACTGGGACTGCATCTTCGATCGGAATCGGACCGTGAATTTGGCATGTCGTTGTGGTACGATTGATAACGCTGCGCTTCTCATACTCCTCCAAAGGGATTTGCAAGACATGAAAAATGCGTTTTTCATTGAAGGGTCCGCTCAAAACAACTCAGATCCACAATTGGCTTTGCATACAACTGCGGATGAGGAAAGCGATTACAACTTGCGTGTCGTTATCTCCGAGCACTTGGAAACTGAAATCAAATTATTGGAAGATAAACTTCATTAAAAACCCAAAATCGATTCCCATAAAATGAAGTGCCTCAAAATTCAAATAAATTGTTAAAAAGTGAAAATTAAATGTTTGTTCTGCTTTGAATTATGTTTTATTGTTTACTAGCGTTACCCTGCGTGCTTTGCTACGCTCTTAGTATGCAGTGAGTGAGGATCAAATTTATTTCTGTTATCGATTGTTTGTGAAAATATATATGAGGCTGTGAGAATGAAAATGGCAAAACAGGAATAAACATTCTGAAACGCACCAAGAAAAAAAATCGCAAAAATGAATCATGAGTTCTGAATATGCAAAAGTGAAACATGAATTTACCTGGGCAGCATGGGAGGTTCATGGTTCACTTTTGCGTATTCAGAACTCGTGATTCACTTTTGCGAATTTTTTTTCTAGATGCGCTTCAGAATGTTTATTCCTGTATTGCCATTTTCATTCTCACAGCCTCATATATGTCTTGTCATTTAAATATGGAGATATATATATATATATATATGTGAGCCTGACAGTGAAAGTGACCAGCAAAAAGTTGAGCGTAAAAGTGACCTAACTCCGAACAAAACACATGCTACCGTCACGCTGTTTTGTATGGAGTAAGGTCACTTTTACGCTCAACTTTTTGTTGGTCACTTTCACTCTCAGGCCCTGATATATATAAAATTACATGGTTTTATATATGTTCAGGTAGGTCAGTTTTAATATGATATCATATATGTATAGATTCGATTTCATTCATCTTTCAATTAATGTTTATTCTTTGATTTGATAACAAAAGAAAATAAATTCAATCTATTGATATATAATATCATATTAAAACTGACCTACCTAAACATATATAAAAATGTGAAAACTATGATGATAAAGGAATTTTTTTACTTTTTCAAACATGGTATTCTCCTACTAATAAGAGTTTAATGGTGTTATAACACGATGGCCGACCATGATGGCCTGTTTTCATTTCAAACATATGATACCCATAATTACTATTCATATGTGAAAATGGTGTTAGGTCGTGTTAACATGATCATGATGGACCGAGATGGTGTCCATGTTCATCTCCGATCCAAGGCCCTTCATATGATATCCATATTGACTATTCATATGTGAAAATGGTGTTAAGTCGTGTTAACATGACCATGATGGACCGAGATGGTGTCCATGTTCATCTTCATTCCAAGGCCTTTCATATGTTACCCATAATGAAAAATTGGTCTTAAGTCGTGTTAACTCGACCATGATGAAGCGTGATGGTATCCATGTTAATCTCCTCTTCAAAACCTTTCATTTGATACTCATATCGACTATATTTAAGCAAAAATAGTGTAAAGTCAAGTTAACACTCGACCATGATGGACCGAGATGGACAAAGCTATTTATACGAACCTTCTCCAGACCAAGAGCTTTCCAACGGTATCTTCGGATTCCAAATCGGTCGAGCGGTTTGGCCAAACATTAGCAACATACATACATACAAACTATTCAGTTTTATATATTTCATTCTTCCATGGGCATGTTTCTATCACTGGATATGGAGCAATGCAAATGCTCACTGGACCACCCCCTTCGCGTGGCAAACGCTGATACAGCTCCTCACTGATGAACGGCATAAATGGCGAAATCAAACGCAAACCAACATCCAAACATGTGAACAGGGTTTGATGGGCCGCCGCCTTTTCAGCATCGGTTCCATTGAAGAACACCGGCTTCAAACATTCCTGAAGTGGATAAGCAAATAGTATGATTAGTAAGAGAAAATGAAAAAAAATTGAATTTATTAAAGAAAATGCAAATAAAGTGGGAAACAGAGCCTAGAAAAGGTAAAAGAATTGCAACAGAAAAGAATAACAAGAATATTGCTTTCTATGCGAAAAATATTACATACATAACAGAGATAAGCAAAAATGGCAAAATTCGAAAGAAAAAGAAAAAAGTAAAAAAGAACATCTCCTTCGTTTGCTTTGAAGCGATAAAGAAATTAAAAAAGGAGAGAAAAACAATTGAGAGGGAAAAAACTCACCAATTCAAAGGTTGACTTGTATTTCGTAATGCCATCGAAGTACATGAGAGCGAATTTGATGGCATTCCATAGTTTGTTGCAAAAGAATCCAGGGCCTTGGAATCAGAGATGACTGAAGCGCACCGAGTGACCGAGCAACGGCCGCACCGCAACTGAGTTTGCGTGCGTTAGACATGCTCAGTGCTTGTAACATGACCGAAAATGAGTGTGGTTTACAAGAGTGCGCAGAGTACTTGTGTTTTATTTTTTGCTTTTTTCGTCGTTTTACTTTACATTTTCGTCCAAGTTTAATTTCGTTGTTCAATATTTTGACTATCTTGACAAAGATGAATGTTTGAAAAGTCATGTATATAATTAAATTTAGGGAAAAATCCTCAAACAAAAAATGCAAAATTGAGCCGGTGCGCGCACTGACACTTCAAGAAAGTGCGTGTGAGCGCACAGAGCAAAAAACAACGCTCATTTGAGTAGCTGTAAACGCTACTGAGCGTGCGTTCAGTCATCTCTGCTTGGAATCGCACATTCAGTTTACATTACAACTCATTTCAGTGAGAGCTACAGCGCTCGTGTGCGATGCTCTTCTCACAAAACAGTTATTATTGAAAAATAAACAGACGTTCGCATTTGCATTGCTTAGGAAGCAGCATGTTTTAAGGCA